AGGTCTGAAACCATTTGTCACTGCAAATGTTGTACCAGGTCCTAGTAGTTAGTATCTTAAGTCCCCAAGGCCTCACATTGTCTATCTTATCACAAGACTTCATCTCCAAAGACTGGACCAGTTACATAATGATGCCTGTGGTTGGGGCCCTCTCCACATGGGTCTCACTCCACTTTCACATCTCAGACATGTCAGACACCTAAACTACTGTCTCTTTGGTAATTGGTCACATCTGTTTAGAAATAGAACTATTAATAGTTCTTGCATTTAAACACACAGAACTTGGCAATTACAGACTTGAAGTAACAACCTGCAACAAAAGGACTTGTAACCTAAACAACAGCAGAAGCTGTTAATAATACAATAATAGGTGAAAGGATGGCAACATTTTATAGACCTACAATTAAGTCAAAAAAGTTAATTGGAGGTAACAATAGAGCTGTTAGAGTTGTTGAATTTCTGTGTATCATTTAATGTATGTACATTTAATAGCCTAGTTGTGAAGGTTTGCAGGTGCAAACCTTTGAGGGACGATCACTGACCATCACATGGTTCATTAAAAAAAATCAATCAATTAGGTCTACAAACATGAGAAGAATAAGCTGTGGAATGTTTTATTTTGGACTGAATAAAAACAACAACTCACCAGTCAACACTTTCAATGGTTTCTAATTAATTAGCTTTGCTAGACCCGCTGCTTCTACAAGGAAAGAACTAAAGGGATTTAGATGAGAGGAGATGATGTTTTGTGTCGATATTTATTTTTATTTTCTTGACTCAAACTCCTTTACGATCAAACTGATGCTGCGTTTTTCTCCCCAGTAATTTCTTCTCATCAGGAAACTTAGAAATATCCACAGAGACCAAATTAAGTCATTCTCATCAGGAAATATCCACAGAGACCAAATTAAGTCTGCACAAAAACAGATCTAAATTCTGATAAACTCACTGGAAAGTGATTGTTTACAGAGCTCATATAAAGATTAGTTTAAAAGTATCACTGCTTGCTGCATTCCTATATAAAGACAGTGTCTCTGCACCACAGGTCAAGTAAAGACGACACATTAAACAAAGTTAATAAAGCAGCAACAGGCAGGTGAAGCAATTATTCCACATTCATTGTTACAACAGCCTGATTGGCTATTGCTGTGAGCTCAATTATTCATTAAATCATTTTCTTGTATGTATCTTAAAAAAATTTGGAATTCACCTCAGGAGCTTCAGCAGAAAACCTAAGGCTCAGACACACTCTGCATGTGAGGCTGTGAAGTTCCAAAACAAATTCTGTGTGCCACATGTTCAAAAAGGCTGTAATTATTTTCAAACTTTTTAATTATATGTGTGTGTGTGTGTGAGAGAGAGAGAGAGAGAGCGGGAGAGATTCAAGAGATGTAATCTCAACTGTACCACTGAATCGGCAGTTCAACTTATCAAAAGGTAAGTAAGAGCTGAACTATCACTGGTAGCCTTTGAAGTAGCATACTGCAACCTCAACCATGGAGGGCTGTCTGCTTGAGTTAGCATTAATAAGAAACTTTTTTTTTTCTTTTGCATTCCAGTGTTGATGTCTCCACTTGAAAAGCAGATACTCTCCTGGCAGGAAACAAAAAGAAATTACCACACTAGAAGAAGAATTATTTCTATTTGATTTTTTTTCCCTAGGTCATTGGGGCAGTTATACATCAAAGCTTTGGGATGATCAGTGAGTCCTGGGGTCCGAGCACAGGGATGTAACCTCCAACGCAGTTTGCCCAGGGAGGGATTTACTCTGTGTTTAACAAGACCTGCAGGACAATCCCTACTTCATAAATAATGATAGAAGAAAGAGAAGGGAAAAGAAACAAAGGAGGAAAACAAATGAGGAGAAAAGAGAGAGGAGGAGAGAGGAAAGGAAAGGAGTTCAAGGGAGGCTGAGGAAAGAAAAGGAAAAAGGAGACAAGGTGAGAGGAGGAAAGAGTACAAGACAAGACAACAGCAGAGCAGAACAGAACAGCAGAGCAGAAGAAAGGAGAAGACAGAAATTAGGACACTAGTGAAATAGTGAGTATGAAGTGAAAAAGGCAGACGGGGTGAGAGACTCAAGCACTGCACAGAAAAAAAAGTGGAGAGAGGATTTGATGAATTTCCAAATCAGCAAAAGTTTTCAGATTTCTTCTTGATTAAAGACCTTCCTCCGACATCGGCTCTGATTAATATCTCCATCTCATTTGCCTCTTACTATTTTCCCTATAAATGATCATGCTATTAACACCATAGAGAAGCAGCTTTAAAGTCTGTGTGTGTGTTTGCATGTGTGTGTTTGGCGATCGTGTGTGTGTGTGCGTGCATGCATGCATCCCCTTTGGTGCAGATGTAGTTCATTTATTTAATTACTGTCATTTATGCTTGATTAGTGCCTACAAACCTCAAGCAAACCCATAACAGAGACATGCACACACAATGAAAAAAGAGAGACAGAGGGAGAGAAAGAGAGAGAGAATAACGATGGAAGGAAGGAAAGTGAACTCCTTGTCATTGTGACACAGCACACCACTGCACACAACCAAATGTGACCTATGCATTTTACACATCACCAAAAGAACTGGGGGCAGTTTTAGTGCCCGGGGAGCAGTGAGTGGGGACGGTGCCATGCTCAGAGCACCTCAGTGCTAACTTGTTGATCAGAGCACTTCTACAAATATTCACTACCACGTGAACTCAGCGCAATCTCCCCTTCACTGGACCCTGAACCCTCCGCCTCACAGAGACTGTTGCACATTTATCTGTTAAGAATAACAAATATTATTATTATATTATTAAAGTTTAATTTTTCCAAACAAAAATACATAAATACAAATGTTAAGGGTCCATAAAGACACTTCAATAGAAAACAATCTGGGGAGAGGCTGGGAGTATGTTTGAAAATTCAAAGGTCCATTTATTATAGTTTGTCAGGAACAAGCCATAATACTACTAATATAGCTATCAGTACAATTTCCTTTTTATTCAAAGCAATCACAAAAATTCATATTTAAATAAAATGCCATTATCATTTGTAAATGAAATGAAAAGAAAATCTAATTAAAACAAAGAAAATCCCCTGCAAAGAATCAATTTACTCTAAATATAGAATGAGAAAGACAGAGGTGAATCAAAGATCTCAGGAATTCAAAAATACAAAGTATCAAGAAGCAAAATACAAGGTAAAGTAGTATCGTCTTGTTAGCAGACCATTGCTGAGGAAACTTAAGAAAATGAAAAAAAGGAAGGGATGGTTAATTAATAAAAAAAATTCTAAATCTATAATGTTGTTATTTATGAGCATAACCTAATAATAGAAAAATATAGCCATCCATTTTACAATATGAAAATTTAATAAGCCATTAAGGTAAATGGTTTTCCATTTATGCAGCAATTCTAGTTTCATGCCATTGTTTCAATCAAAGGACAAGAATGACCACAGTTCAGGAACCAACATGAAAGCTGAAGATAAAGCTGCATTTGAAAATCAATACTTGGCTAAAAATAGTCAAACAAATAAGTGTCAAGCAAGATCAGACCAGGGCATGCAGTTTACACACAGGGCACTGCTATCTATCTCCAGACCTGCTTTAGCTATGATGTGTATCTAAAGTTGTTAAAAACACCTTACTCATCACTCAGCAGTGAATAAATAAAGGAAACTTTGAACCTGACATCCGTCTTTGTCTCCAGAGACACATGCAGTGCATTTATATGCTTACAGCTCTGAGAGAATCGCGTGAAAAGCAGAGGTGACACATCTTTCGCCCACACTCTCCTCTCAGTTTGTCAACCTGTCTCCTCTCATACCTTCCATCACTTTTTCTTTTCCTTCACCTCGGCGCCATTTCTAATCACACTCTATTCATGGTTTTTGCATTCAACCACCAGTTTAAGTACACACCACTACAGCAGGTGGCACAGAGTACAAAAACAAGCAACCACTAAAGGAAACGTGTCAGTTGTGAACGTAACAGGCTAAATTATTCAAAAGGAAGACCTGTGAGAGTGGATTTTTGTAGACTAGAAACAATGTAAGGCAAGAACATCGAAAGCATAGAAAATATAAATTATCTGAAATGCGTTGACTACTGAAACTGAATTTGTGTTCAAATGAATGTACATTTAAAATGTTTTGTGACATTAGCTTAGCTTATTCAAATAAATTGCTGGTAAAGTGCATCATATAATAGTGTAATCTTGTGAGTTAACCATGACAACAACAAAAAAAAATGTAAATGTTTTATGCAATTATTTAAGGGCACAAAAATACATAGAATATTTTTTTAGACCTAGCAAACAGTGGGTCATGTTTACAAGTGTAAACACAATTCCATGACAAATATTTCATGCTCATAAATGAAAATGCTTTGCACTAGATACTACACACCAGTCAGCAAATCTAGTGCTGGCCAGTTCAGTGCCTCATTGCCTTTATGGGTAGTTTAAGTGTCAAGAGTTGAAATATACTGTAAAAAAAAAAAGGGGGTCAATGAAAGAGGCAATACTTATCATAAGATTAGGTTTTTTTTACAATATGAACAATTTAACAAAACATCTAAAACACACCTTACTACCAAAAAAGCCAATATTGCTCCACAGCTTAATAGCACAGTGGATAGCTAAACACATTACCAGAGTTTTTTGTTGTTGTTTGTTTTTAGAGTAATCTAACCAACATTGTCTTTGTTATTTTATTTAATAAAATATTATTTAATAAAATATATTATTTAATAAAATATGGACATACAGCAGTTTTTGTAACACTGTGGTCCATGCAAAGGACATACAGCTACCCGGTTTTTGTAACACTGTGGTCCATGCAAAGCCAAAGGACATGGTGTTAATTCAAAATAGACAACATTATAAAAGCTCCACACACTTATTGTTAAGAATGCCAAAAGACAAATGCAGTGCATTTATTTGCCTCTGCATCTCCATGAAAAAAAACCCTGTAAAAAGTAGAGTTGACTCTTTCTCACACACTGAGTTGGTCGTACCTTCCATCACTTTGCCTCTTCTCTCAGCTG